CAAGAAACCGTATCACACACAAGACACGCAGGCAGCCAATATTCAAAAGAATTGCCTCCCGTTTTTGTGTGACAATTTTCACCTCTCCAGCCTCATTATTAACCGTTGCGGTCGCTCTTCTCGTCTTCGTTCATGTTTTAATCAATCACACCAGCACTGACAGTTCCATATCACAACTTCGATAGGCCGTATTTGTAATTCGTTCGATCAATGGCTCAACGGTGCAAGTACAAGCACCAGACAATATGTGCGAACCCCGGCTTTACAGCTCATGAACACTACCTTAAACGCTGCCAGGCCGAAGCTGGGATGTTCAGTGTTCATCACAGCCCCTTATGAACGGTGGAAATAGAATGCCTTGGTGCCTTTTGGGGATAGGTTGCAAGTTGTTTTGTCGCCGTGTATGAGTCCAATAAATAACATCAGTCTCAAGCACTTGTCTGCAGGGCAATTTATTAATGGCATGCAATCACACATTTCTATACTTCGTATGATCTCAAGTTCTGGTTTTCCCTACTAAGTACTTAGTACGTCCTAGTAAACCATGTCCAGGAAGGCACGACTCGACGATATGGCGCATGCACGCAGCTTGCCAGATTTAGTGTCAATGGCCGTCTCCATCATTCGCAATAATAGAGATCAAAACAATACAGGCTAGTCTCGCTCGTGTTGTCTGTCGTTGACGGAAGACTTCAAAAGCATGCTGGGCCCTGCAATCTTGCTGTATTAGCGCCTCTGCTAAATAATCACGATCCTGTTCCAGAGATCTCATAGTTTCCCGCAGCTTATCAACACCCGTGGAACAGTCAGATGTAGCAGCCTCGTCGGTTTCACAGGATCCGGATCCTAGCATTTCAGTGTGGATACATGGCATGACCATGGCGGAAAGAAGGGTAGTGCATATCGTTATCGAGCACATCTCGAGTCGTTCGTACTCGGCGTGAGAGACGAGGCGGTAGGCAACGGCAAGCATAATAAAACCAGTGGTACCAATGCCAATGTATTTATAAGCGAGCAAAGGTGATTTGTCCCTTTTGGCGAAGAGAGTAAAGTAAAGAATATTCACGCAAGACATGTACATCATGAAGCCGGTATATAGGGCTTTGTAATGGTTGTAGGTGCCGTGTGGAGCGTTTTCCTCACGGCAGTCATTGCGAGTGTCCACCATCTTGGAACGCGAATATTGTTGCTGCAGCAGTAAATAAACCGCATAAATGTGTGTCGCTGCTGCTTGGTGACGATTGTGGGAGAGGTGTCGAAGTGTGCTCTTGTCGTGCTGCGTTGCAAAGATGATACGCTAAAAGTTTCTGATGGAGCGGAGATTCAGGCGCTGGTAGTCCATGATACGCTAAAAGTTTCTGATGGAACGGAGATTCAGGCGTTGGTAGTCCACGAGAAACCTGTCCCGCATAATGCGAGCTTTTATTAATAGAAATACAAATGTCCACAGAATGCATCAGCAGAATTATGTGCTTATGTGCAATGCATATGTAATGTATCATGAATCATGGGATCCTTGCTCCTAGTGAAGGGCAAGCCCAGAGCCGAGGCGTTATGTCTTTTCACTTATTGGAGCTTAAGCACACATCACGCAATGTAGGGTTTTGCTCATATGCAACTATCACGGCCGTAGCCATCGACTTCACGCCTGCAAAAGCTGGTTGCCCCTTGACAAGATACGTGCATGTACAATGCGGCATAAGCAAAAGCTGGTTGCCCCTTGACATGATACGTGCATGTACAATGCTGCATACTTGCAGAAAACACCAGAAAACACCACTTTTATAGCCCTTTTTATATGCCTGACAGCATTTCCGTAGTTGTATTTACTATTGTGTGGCTAATGCTCAGTTAGTGTTGGTACTGTAAATACAAATGCTAATTGCAGCTACTAAATATCGCTCGCTCCAGTTGCCGTACATTCCGCCGCTTTTTTCTCACGAGAAACCAAGTCTGGCAAGGCGATCCATCATTTTATTTTGTTCTTATGTTCATGTAAAGATCCATCATTTTATTTTGTTCTTCTGTTCATGTACAAGCATTTATAGATGATGTATATGAAAACCCTTAGGTACTGTTCTCACTAGTCTCGGCAACCTGAAGTGGCTGCTTAAAATTAATGTCCTCGCGCCTCATGCTTATCAAAAATAGTAGGCCGCTCAGGAAACACAACCCACCAGCCCCAGCCACTACGTAAAATTCCTTGGCTATCACCTTGGACACAATATCCGCAGCTGCTTGCAGCAGAGCTGGATCCTGCGACTTGAGGGAATTGCCGGCAAGTAACGCCCGAATTTGCTCTTCTGTTAATGCTGTGCGTAAGCTCCGCGCCAGAAGCCGGTAACCCACGTTCTGGAAGATACTTCCCGCGGCCGCCAGAGTGATGGCAATGCCCCCCATTTGGGCAAGATTACACATGAAGATACTATCAAGCCGGGCAAGCTTGTTTGCGGACCTCTTCATCGCATTGCAGATACCGATGCCGTGTTGGAACTGAAGGCCAACGCCGGAACCCATTAAAATCTGAAAGCCAACAAGGTGCGCGGTCGGCGTCTCCCGATTGAGTATTGCTGCCAATGTCCCGCCAGCCGTGGTGACTATTGCGCCACCCACAGCGAATATAACCAGAATGACCTTATGCGCCGCAAAGACGGGCAGTAGCTGACCAGTAATAGCAACAGAAGTGATGAAAGTCAGGACGAACGGTAGAACCCAAAGGGTCTGTTGCAGTGCATCTGCGCCTTTGGCAAAGGCGAAGTAGAGTGGAAAGTAATAAAGTGCGACTGCATAAGAAGCTCCGGCGCAGGCCGAGCAAACCCACAGCGACCAGATGCGCAGATTGGGCCAGCCACTGCGGACGAGACCAGCCCAATCGATCTTCGCCCACAGATATAACACCCAGAGTAGTGAAACGACTCCGGAGGCTATCCAAATAGCCAGCGTGGGATGTGAGTCCCAATGCCAGACACTGCCAGAGAATGTTAGACCGAGGGCTAGCAAGACAGGCACGGCCATGTTCAGCAGAATCTGAGCCAGTACGAATTGATTCCACCGACACCGAAGGGGTGCTTCGTCGTCTGGCAAAACCTCCCCCTTCGGGACGCAAATGCATGCAAGGATCAGAGTTGCTCCAACACAGGGTAAGTTCAATAGGAACGCCCATCGCCAGGTAACCCGCTCCGAAAAAGCACTTCCAACAGGTCCGCCAATGATCAGGCCGACGGCCCATGATGCGCTCATTATGGAGATACGCTGCGGCGCCTTGCGTGCCCTTTCCCCCTCAATCCCCGGCGCGCAATCAGAAATATAGAACATATTGCTATTGCCCTGTCAGCCCGCCTATTTGAACCCCAACGTTTTGTGGATAGTTAGTTACTCAGCTGTACATTTGCTGAACAAAGGCCCCGCCAACACCCATAATGACTCTTCCTACTATGATTGCGGCCATATTTTGAGCCGCACCGGCTACAGTGGCACCGGCCAAGAAAACAGCCAGACTTCCGAGATAGAGCCATCGTAAATCGAAATTGTATGTAAGGTGCCGGACCAGGAACATGACAGAGAACAGGGCGAGGGAGTAAGAGAGACTGATCCACGAGAGCAACTCTATGCGACCAAAGGCTTCGTACAATCGCGACTGAATATTCGCAGTATTGCTGACATCGTAACCTGCTTGCGCTGGTTAGCATTACAAAGATTCAATAAGAGGTCTGTCGGCTTACACAGTTTTACCGTTGATGAGGGCCGTAAAGTAGATGATAGCCAGTGTGCCTTTCCACCTCCATGATCGTCGTGATACGTGATCATCCTGGAGTTCGATGGCTGTCTTTTGAGACTCCGGGTTGGACATAATGGCTCTGATATGCTTCAAGGAAAATGAATTGACTTTGCAAGTCCTACCAAATACTGGGTACTTGCAGGACGTATATATAGGTGAGCCCCAGCTGGTGGCGTTTAGTGTGGCAGGAGGCAGCAAAAATCGGTTTCTCATCGAGACTGATCAAGCAGAACAGTATGAACACAGAGGCAGGAAATCCTGACAGCATATTTGCGAGGGCGCGGCGACAATCCATGACCGCTTGAAGCCGCACATATCCCCGCGATACACAGTTTATTAACATGGCTGTGGAATTTATGCCCATCCTGCATATGATCTTCTGATTCGCCACAAAGTACATGAGCCGCCCCGTCTGCGCCATGCAGTGACAGTTATAAACCTCTCCACCGCTATCCACCAACAATACGTACACCTATAAAGGCAAGCTTCTGGAATTTGCGAGCCTTAGGTAACAATCATGATTGGCAGAGGTTAACGGGCTGGACGTGCATGTATCAATGAGACTACACTAAAGCAGAGCCAACGGCCAGGGGAAATGCAATGGAACGCCATGGTACACACGTAACCTGCGTTCAGCATCACGTTAAGGAAAGGGACTGTTTGAACGAGGTGAAATCTGTGTGTGAAGTGACGAGCCGTGCGCTCATTTGCATCGCCGCCAAATCTGCATATCACATGACGCGTTAGTTTGCCGGCTTGGCTCAACCGTATAAACGCCTACGTCGCATCTCCAACGAAGACAATTTTAAGTTCTATCATTACAACTTTTTGTCCCTGAACTCATATTAATGCCCCCTTGTTGTCCCTTGGGCTTTTCTACGCCCAGGTCAAAAATACGAAATGCTTCATTTTCTGGCCATCGAATTAGTTTTGCTTATTTGCGATCAGCTCGACAGCGAGAGAGATGTCAGTGCACTGGCGAGAGCCAGCCAAAAATTGTATGGCGTACTAAGCCGCGTTTTGTACCTCCGCAACGCAACATACTCAGGAAGCTCTGCTCTTTTGTGGGCTATTTCCAGCGGGCAGCACATGACGGCTGAGAGGGCCGTGACCGCCTGGGCTACTTTGCTCCGCACGAAAGTTTCGGACGAATCCACCACAGGGCCCGTCTTCTATGGCCACAATGCTTTTGTCCGGGCGGCGGAACAGGGCAGTGACCTCGTCGCCCGTATGATGACCGAGACGGGGATGATTGATATCAACTGGCGTGACCCCGGACATGGGCGGACTGCACTTGGGTGGGCTGCGATGTGCGGAAATAGCTCTGTTCTCGGTTTTCTCGTGGGATTGAAAGACGTTTTGTTAGACTCCACAGATTATTACGGACACACTCCTCTGTCGCTGGCTGCCCAAACTGGGAATCTAACATCTGTTAGGTTGCTGTTGAGAACGGAGAGAGTGAATCCGAACGCTGTCGATCGGTTACAGCTTCGGACTCCTCTAGCCTGGGCCGCGTTCCGTGGTAGGTTGGAAATTATGAAAGAGTTGATGCGGCAGAGAGAGGTCGACGTAGACCCCCTTGATGTGCGAGGGTGGACGCCTCTGTCACTAGCATGCCAGGGCGGTTATGCCGAGGCCGCGGCGGAGCTGCTTGCCACTGGCCTGGTCGATGTAAACTCCAAAGACAGATTCTGGCGTCGCACCCCACTAATTTGGGCCGCTTTTTACGGGGAGGAGAATGTAGTCAGAGTGCTGTTGCGCTCGGAAGACATTGTGGCGGGTATCGCCGACATACGCGGCCACACAGCATTGTCTCTTGCGGTCCAGGGAGGAGTCGGACGAGTAACGAGGTTACTTCTACATAGTGGGAAAGTGGACCTAGGGTCTATCGACCGTGTACGGAAAATCCCCATTGCAACGGGGAGTATACAGTCATCGACCCACGACCGGCTTCATGCCACCAGCACTAAGGCCGCCTTGACATCATCGTCGTAGTCGACAGGCTTCTGGTTGTTTTGGTGAGCGGGTATACATAACAACACACAGCATGGTAAAACTTATATTAATATTTACATAACTGGTCAGATAAATATATGAATGAACATGAGGTTTCTGCGCAATTCATTCATCGATCAACAGAGGATCGGGTGTTGTAACGGTCGGCCGGGTGACTGGAGGTGGGCCAGGGTCGGTCGCTTGGCGCGCCGAGTTGTACATGAAGACAAAATGCTGTGAACCCTTCCCCAGCAGAGTCATATTCGGTCCATTTCCTGTTGTTCGCGACGAGTTACACATGTAAGTAAATGCAGTGCGCGGCAACCATGTGCCATTGCTACGCAATTATGTGTCATGGCTCCGCAGTTATGTGCAATGCAGTGCCCGGCTACTATGTGCAATGCTCAAGTGCTGGTCGCCGCGGTCATGCCGGCGTGGTGATGCCCGTTGCCGAAGTGGACCAGCGATGGTGACCCGTCCGACACGACGTTTGACGACGCGGGGGGGTATTGGTAAACAACTCCTGTCATGTGTGTCGGCAGAAACCAGGGGAAGGGCATAGATCACTTTATGCATCGACCACGAGCTTGGGTGAAGGCAAGTTGTTTCATCGAGCTGGGCGCTGTCATGTTATGAGTATCACGGGGCGAGTCTAGGGTTCTCGTAGTAACATAGTTGTGCCTTGAAGAAGGGAGAGAAAGCTATCTGTGAGTCTAGGCTACAAGTAGTAACGAGCTTATGTGGGTCTCAGGCACAGGTCGTTATGGTGCTGTGACAGTACCCCCCCTCTAAATACCATTCGTCCTCGAATGGTGGCTTTCCGAAAAGAAACTAAGTTACCGGAAATGGACTCCAATTTGTTTCACCAGTTGCATTGTCGCAAAGGACACTTCTTTCATCGTTGGGAATGGCGCTTGCCGTAACCGAAGGCTTCGCTTTGGCTAAACTCAGGGTTTCTTCACCCAGGTAGGTGGGCCGGGTTTGTCGGGATACTCTAAGGGTATGTCATCCCCTCCTGACCGACGCGGTATCTAGGAGACTCGGTGCGTGATGTTCTTGGCGTGCGGGGTGTCGACTGCCTGCTTTCACGGTGACATGAACTCGCTTTAGCTGTGGCTGGTTGGGGATCGCCCAGGCCTGGGCCTCAGGCTCCAGCGGAGGACGGGGGCGGCTCGGTCGAAAAGTGCGGTGTGTTCTTGGCCAGGAGTGGCAGTCCGAGGGATATCCTGTTTCACTCTTCTCCCTGGGGGAAGCTCCTCATCGTCGCCGTCTTCGACATAGGGCGGTCGGTAGGAAGAAGTGGTTTGTAAAGAATCACCACTCCCGTATCCTTCATCTCCAGGATCCTCGATGTAGGCCCGATCCTGCTGGGGGGACGGCTGAGACTTCATAGCTGGCATATCGTCTTGCGGCGGGTCTGTGGGGCTACGAACTGTCGGTGCGAGACATGGCATAGGACAGCAGCGAGTGAGGCAATACTGTGACTGGAAAAGCAGGGTCATTCTCGCCCAGTCGATTGTAGGGTTGTGACGTTGGAGCCAGGGGAGTCCAAAGATAAGCGGAGTTTCTGGGAGTAGCGTGGTAACAAACAAGACGCAAGGTTCGGTGTGGTTTCCCATACTCACGGGCAGGATGACGTAGTGGGTGATATTGTCAGCGACTTTTCCATCGGCGAGGATCAGGGTGCGCGACTTCGGTAGCTTCTCAGTTTGGATCTTGTTGGCGCGAAGAAAGCCGCGGTCGGCGAATGCCCGTGCGGAACAGCCACTGTCGATTAAGCTGTTCACCCGTACGGGGTTTCGGTGCGCTGGGAACAGTTTGGCCTGGACAAGTAGCGATTTACTGTTTATGGACGTGAGGACAAGGGGATCATTACCGCAAATAGCTTTACGGATCCATATCGGTAATAAACTTGTAGGTGTTCCAGAAGACCTCCGGGCGCGACGGTGTCCGGAGGTTAGACGTTTCCCTGGATTCTATCCGTATCTGGGGTTGGTCTAGTGACGGCTGAGCTGCTGGTGTCAGACTCGATAAAGCCTTGGTCCCTGGAGTGAAGGCGGTTGAAGGTAGAACTAAAGTACGGGGGTTGTGCGTAGTATTGCTGGGCCGGTGGGAAGCCTTGGAGTTGTTGGTACTGGGGCTGGTGTTGGTATGTTGCACTCGGGACATGGGATGAGGGACGAGGGTAGTAGTGGCTGCCACGGCCGTGGCCGAGACCACGAGCGGGATCACCTTGTGCCGTGTGATTCTGGACGCTATACTTCGCATCGTTATTCATTTTCTCCTGGCAGTCGCGGATCCTGTGAGTTCCGCCACAGTAGTAACAGAGGCCGCGTTCTTGGCGCTCGCGTCGGCGAGCTTCGGAGGCTGAGGACGCACAGAGTTGCATGGGCTCGCCAGCATCAGCGATGGGCGCGACTAGGGTTGGCGGGTTGTTCGGGCGAGGGTTCTCGAAGGCGGTGCCAGGGCAAGGCTCACGTTGGCTACGCATCTTCCTGATGTGCTTGCTCTGCTCAAGGTCATTGTAGACGTCCTGGCACAGCCTTCTCCATCCAGGCCAGTCATCATTCCCGGGCTTGCCGCTGCGGTGCATGACTTCAGTAATGACCTCATCGGATACCTTGAGTTGGAGGGCTTCAACCTTCTGCTTATTAGTTTTGCCAGCGAGAGCTGCGAGCTTATTGAACTCGGCGATAAAATTCTCAAAAGGTTCGTTCGTCATGAAATAGTTGTCAAAGTTGCGACTGGCAGTGCGATCGAGGTCGATGGTTTCGTACTGGCTGTTAAGGAACTCGATGAGGTCGTCGGCGGTCTTCCATTCCCATAGCCTCGCATCATCGGGGTTCATGGTAATCGTGTCTAGGCTCTGGCGAACAAGCGCGTAAGCGCTGCCATCAAGCATGCTGCCGATATATTGCAAACGACGGAACTCGGTGTTATAGACAGCCTTATCTACGGCTAAATTGCGCATCGCTTTGGAGCGCCATCCGACGTACTCCTCCTGCCGCTTCTCGATATCTTTCTCAGCGGCGGTGAACGTAGTGTGGTCCTGGGTCTGGCGGCGGGGAAGCTGGTCATTGGTGTGCTTAGGAGAGCCAACTCGATCAATTACCCTATCGAGTGTGGCAACCTCCTTCCTTAGGTCGTGATTCTGGTCTTGGAGGGTTTGGACTTCCTTGCGGAGAAGGCCTGCTTCGGCGTAAAGGGATGACTGGATATGCTCGCAGTAATCCTGTATCTGCTTGGCGTAGTATGCATCCTTGTCAGCCTCAAAGGCAGGGGACAGGTCGTGGGTATTATCGGCGCGCGAGATGATAGTGTAGACATGGGGGAATGACCCAATGCCTTCTAATAGTCTGGATTTCCAGGCGGGCATTTCGAATTCGGGGGCCATTGCGAGTATCTTCAGGGGTGTTTTGGGTCGCGGCTTGTCAATCGCGTGGCTTCGAGGTCGTGTGGTCTGTAGGTGTTTTTCGTGAATATCTTCAATCGTGACGTGTCAGTCGCGACGCTTTGTGGTCGTTTGGTCTGTGGTCTTCTGGTCTGTGGTCTTCTGGTCTGTGGTCATCTGGTCTGTGGTCTTCTGGTCTGTGGTCTTCTGGTCTGTGGTCTTCTGGTCTGTGGTCTTCTGGTCTGTGGTCTTCTGGTCTGTGGTCTTCTGGTCTGTGGTCTTCTGGTCTGTGGTCTTCTGGTCTGTGGTCTTCTGGTCTGTGGTCTTCTGGTCTGTGGTCTTCTGGTCTGTGGTCTTCTGGTCTGTGGTCTTCTGGTCTGTGGTCTTCTGGTCTGTGGTCTTCTGGTCTGTGGTCTTCTGGTCTGTGGTCTTCTGGTCTGTGGTCTTCTGGTCTGTGGTCTTCTGGTCTGTGGTCTTCTGGTCTGTGGTCTTCTGGTCTGTGGTCTTCTGGTCTGTGGTCTTCTGGTCTGTGGTCTTCTGGTCTGTGGTCTTCTGGTCTGTGGTCTTCTGGTCTGTGGTCTTCTGGTCTGTGGTCTTCTGGTCTGTGGTCTTCTGGTCTGTGGTCTTCTGGTCTGTGGTCTTCTGGTCTGTGGTCTTCTGGTCTGTGGTCTTCTGGTCTGTGGTCTTCTGGTCTGTGGTCTTCTGGTCTGTGGTCTTCTGGTCTGTGGTCTTCTGGTCTGTGGTCTTCTGGTCTGTGGTCTTCTGGTCTGTGGTCTTCTGGTCTGTGGTCTTCTGGTCTGCAGTCTCCTGGTCTGCGGTCTTCTGGCTTGTGCTTGTTGTTGGCTTGGGGTCGTCGTGGATGCGGATGGTTTCAATCGCGGCGTGTCGGTCGCGTGGCTTCGTTGTTGTAGGGTCTGTAGGAGTTTTCGTGGACGGTCTCAATCACAACGCGTCAGTCGCGAGACTTCGTGGCCCTGAGGTCGCCCCTTTCAGGCGTGGTGGCTGGGCCGCGTTAACGATGGAGACAAAGGCGGCGCAACCAAAAATGAAGGCACAAACTATCACGGGGCGAGTCTAGGGTTCTCGTAGTAACATAGTTGTGCCTTGAAGAAGGGAGAGAAAGCTATCTGTGAGTCTAGGCTACAAGTAGTAACGAGCTTATGTGGGTCTCAGGCACAGGTCGTTATGGTGCTGTGACAATGAGACTGATTGTTCACTAGTGAAGCTTCAAAAAATCATGGCTCTTGTTGTTCGTGCTGCAGAGTCTGTCTGCAGTCATCTTTCCAGCACCAGCAAACTTCCTTGCGTCCGAATATTGTTCTCGGCCAAGCTCTGTCATGATAACCAACGTTATGACAGCTGGAACTTACACCAAGCTTGCTTGTTCTATCAACAAAGGCAGTTTCATGTATCCGACAGTTGTTCCCAGCGTACCACAAAGGCAGTTTCATGTATCCGACATTTGTTCCCAGCGTACCAAGACATTACGGACGACGTCCTCGAGCTCGGTCGTCTTTGTCTGTCGCCATTGTTCGTATAGTGCATCCCTATTTGGTTGAACTTGTTGTAAATAATGCAGTACTGGTGGACAACTTGTGGTGTAGTGTAGAACGACTGCAGTCTGCTTGGAAGACTGTGCCTATGCCCTGGACGATCCGTAGTCTGCATTATCAAGAAGCTGGGGTTGTGGGAGTACCATGCTCTGACAACAGGTCACCAGGGCACGTATTGTCCGACTTTCTAACACCCCCAGTTTGTCTAACTATACGTAAGCATCATAAATGCACCCCCGGAAGGCCGCTCTAACCACTTCGACCCATCCTGAGAACCATGTCGCGGATCCATTGCGCTTGCGCTTTCACATGGCCGCTATTTGTCCCTCCTTCGGCGTCCTCCCTTCCAACAGACAAGTCTCGGCAGGATCCATGGCATCTCCACTTTTGGACAGCTGGCGCTCATGATTCTGCGCAAACCAAGCGCTTTACCTACTATGTGTGTGAAGTCCCGGAGATGGTGTTGGGGAAAGTACCCGTTCCGCCGTCGAGGAATGGCCGCCGCCGATTCGCTGCGGCCATTTGTCAGCTACGGTCAGCTACTGGCTACATATCACCCCAACACCTAGTCCGTGCGTGTTGCTCACCCGTATTCTGCAGGTAGTGTGTACTTAATAATGAGACTTAACGTGATGGATCTCTCCTCCCGATGGGTCCTGGCGGGTAGGCCAGGGCCGAAGGCAAGAGTGCAAACCGAGCCGCACCGGGCTCAGCCCGTTACACATAACACGGACAGAGAGTGTGAGGAAACGAGTCCACTGTAGGGCACATATAGCTTGAATCACACCTTGTCCCTTTGTGAACAATCGCGCTTCCTCCAGTCCACTAAACCTTGCTCGTGCCCTCACACCGTCGCCTACCCCCCAGATATATACACCCGCCTTCGCGGGTGTGAACCCCAAGTACCCTAGCATATGGCGCCCGTGCGTACTCGCATGTTACAAGTCGTACTTCCAAGTCCACCGGTAGGTAGCTTGGTAGTTACGTCGTAGTACTCTAGGGCTCTTGAGCATCTTATCACGTCTAAATAACTTTTCCAAATCCGTTTCAATGATCAGCTTGTAGTCTGCTTTGGATTCATTCTTTCTCTTAGCGAGCATTCTGAGTCGAAAATGAACTATCTACCACAGAGTGTGAAGCTCGAGGAAGTGTTTGCATCGGCGGCGCCTCTCAATGCTACCAGAATCGCATTGGACACGCTGTCTTCTGAATCACAGTCCTCCCCTCCTTCACCCAGCGACGTCTCAAGTCCATTGGCATCGCCGCCTTGCTGCCAGCCAACTGAAACTGTTCCGGAGAGAGATTTCTGTACAGCAGACACCACACAAGCCGATTCGATATGCGGGATTGAACGACCAGGTAGCGCGAGAGTTGTTGGTGATCCGACAATGGACATGAACGGACGGACTGTCCTTGACCAATTATGCGCGATGGGTTTGACAGATCAACAAAAAGCTCTTGTTCTGGATAGAATGCGCCGTGACCGACATCACAACATCTCAGATCCACAAAGAAGAACGCATGGCTCTGGCTCGGTCTCTCCTGCGGCACTTCACATGCGTTTCAAAAGACTAAAAGATAAGCATCCCGAGTTAAAAGAGATGTTTCCCCCGAGAAAAGGATCTCTAAAGTAAGCCCCCCGTCGCGGCCTCGAAGACGGGCCTCGGACCTGCGCTAAATTATTCTAAAAGGCAAAAAAAAGAGGAAAGGAAGGGTCACGATTTGTGCTTGAGCGGTATGGAATATGACACAAGTGAGGAGGACACGACTACCCGTTACTCTAGCAGGCGCAAGATCATCATTGCCACATTGCTGTTCATTGTCTTCTTTTTCCTTTGAACTGGAACAGTTGGGGAAGAGCTTCGTAAATTCAAGCAAATTCTTCCATGTTCTGCGGCCGATACTACGTGGAAGAATTTTCAATATTAACAGAGATGTTCGATCGAAAATGATCGGTACAATTTTAGCCATTGCGTATCAGCTCATAGACTGCATGAGCCGCCCCACGATAGCATAAGGCAGACACAGGACGCCGGTGGGCAAGTTCACAAAGACCTCGGTGAACTGATGGGGAACCACGTGGTATTTATACAGGCACTCTGGATACTTTGAATTTTCTCTCTGTAGACAGCATTCTACTTCTAGCCAGCTCTCATCACAGCCGTTTACCAAGCATCTGTCGATCCAACTACTTGATATCTAGTTCCGGTTGTGATATATTACCTTCGCAATATCTAGCCACACAGACAAAAGTTTTCGGCCCTATATTAGATGCAGCTTCATCTGTACCTTGCACTTCATCTCCGTGCTACGCCCGCAACCACTGGCAATGTATCATCCAACACAGGACACTTCGGGAACCAGTCAGTTAATGGTGTGCAGTTATTGATGAAGCCGAAACTGGCCACCTACAGATGATGTTGTCGGGCTCATGTGCTCCAGTGCATGACCTAACCGCTTAGTTAGTTGCGTTTTAGTTATCTGCACCTTGTGCCGTTTGTCAAAAGCTGCCCTCCAGCTTTGGTCTGAATTATCACAGACGAACTCGTCGGAAACCCCATCGATATTGAATTTATGCAGCCGTGTATAATCCGGCACCCAGGCAACCTTGGGTTGGCAGAGCAATGCAAGGTGGTTTGAAAACTCGTCGTTTAACTCGGCACACTCGGATTGGATATCTGGACGACCAGGTTGGCATTTACTTCGTAGGCCTGGTAGGACAAATGCATTGAGTGCAATCTGAAAGGCTACCGTTAAGACCAACGCAGCAATCATGACAATGGCGTGAGGAAGGCAGGTTTGTCTTCCCGTCTCATCTCTGACACCAAAAAAGAGCCCAGATATGCAGAACTGCATCACATATATTCCCGTAAACGTTTGATTGATCGCCCGGGGATAGAGGATACCACCGTGATCTGTCTCTTGTCTTCCGACGTGGATGGCAGAGTATCTGTGTGCTAGCCAGAGCATGCCGAACGAGACGGTGGCAAATAACAAAATGAGAGGTGCGATGACACTATAAATTAATGAAATGCATGCCAGGGTAGTGTACAGTGGAAAGACGGCCCCCCAAGCGACAATGTCCATGCTGACGCCCCTTGACCACTTCTGCCTGGGTGTGTAGACGAAGATTTTGTCCGCAAAGAACCAAAACATTGAGGGCCACTGCATGATGATGCTGGAAGATCCAGAAAGAGCTTGCAGAATCATGTATGAAAAGAAATAGTTCGCTGCCGTGGGTAGATTCTGGGGCAAAAGATTTAGGATATTGCCGGGTATTTGCAGGCTCTGGATGTTGTGGAAGAACTGTTTGAATGACGCTGTGAAGAAAGAAGCAATGGAAACCACCAAGAACATTTGCACGAAAAGAAAGACAAAATAATATCGTTGCACGAACGCGGCTTGTTGAGACCTGAGTTTGGCCCCGCCTATGCGAGACAAAAGCTCGAGTACTGAGGGTAGCAGCATGAGCATCAAAGTCAGCGCTGCTCCTGGTAAAACTCCAGCTATGGCCACAGCCACCGTCCTCCAAGTCCTATGGCGTTGGAAAAATGACTGTAATGCGTCGTTGCGGATCAAGTTGTCTAGTTGGCTTAGCGCTGCCGTCCAGGAAACAGGAATCGCCCATAGCGCAATCATCGTTGTCAAGACAATGGTCACCAAAGTGGCCCTGAGCCATTTCCTCCACGACGGAAGTCCGATATTGCTCCACACAACGTTATGCCACGCCAATTCCACAGTTGAACAATGCTTGCAATTATTGTGACCACTGTTATACTTAGGATATTCTGCCGCGGGTTTCAGTTTTAGTGCAAGGCTTCGTATGTCTTTCTCCCTCGTGCAAAGTCCCGTATAGCAACTTTGCAATTTGGTCCGCAATTTGGTCTGCAATTCAGAAGATGACTCATGTCTCATCAGCGCCGTCGCTGCGGATTCAAACTTTGCTAGGTCTTTATTTCTCAGCCTTAAAAGGCGGTCCAAGCCCTTCGCATCATCTGCGACAGATTTTTCCTTTTCTTCGATAAGTCTGACCAAATCCTGTTGGTTTTTCACCTCCCTATTCCTCTCGGGAATACCTATACTGCGTTCCGTTTCTTCCATTTCGTAATTGCGCATCTCGATGAATGATACGTAACAGAACCAAGCCGTGACGAGCAAAGCGCACACGAGATGCGCTATGTAGCGACATGTATTCGAGCTTCTGACATTGCCAAACGCAAGCGTGTCCAAGCCCATAATTCGCGAAGCGCCATCCGCAGCTGATTCCTTTGTGGGGTCAAGGTCTTGTCCCCTTCCGTTCACATAGTTTAATGGTAGTAAAATAGGCAGTAACACGAACAAGATGGGCGTGAATAAATGCAGAAGAGTTCTAAGATATCGAAGGAAATAGTACGCATCCAAGCCGCGTCTTTTGATGATTTCTTCATCCTTGAAGTTTATGGTGCTGCTCAGCAATTGCTTTGCCTTTGGTGCCGCTCCATCTCCCTCCGGATGGCTAAATGTACTCGGTATATTACTAATGGTAATTCACTCAGACAACTTGGCAAGACTTACTATATGTAACGTAGGTCAGATTGCTTGCGGAGATACAGAAACAAGCAAATTTGAATCAAAAAGGCAAAGACAGCAACGGACAATGCGGTGGAAAACGCAGTGATGCCGATACCTCGTTGGTTCTGAGCGGCTCCAGGCGCGGCATCTGCTCTGGGATGTACGGCCATGGATGCGTTAAGCCTAGAGGGCAAGAGACACTTCTGCGTCGATTGCGGAGATAAGTAGGCGTACATGAGCCTGCTCAGTACCTATACTGGGGAGGCAATAGTAAAATTGGTCCTATAACAAGTTTCTGATTTCTAACTTTACTCACACCAGTCGCGCCATTTACGAATTCCACTGGGCGTTCTTATTTTGCTATGCGAGGCGCGGGTTTCCACAAAGGTTGAAAAATGGCCATCATATATGTTGATTGGCTTTTACAGTGGTTATGTACTGTAACTACTGTAGTAAATACGTAGCCCAATTAATTATGTTTATATCTAAAAGACCCAGGCGGTGAAAATAAAACCCTACGCATCACAGAGTTTCACCCTGAATGGAATCAAAGGCAGGCGGATGCTTGCTTGTGAGGAACTATCACATGCTGGGAGATCCGCTAACCTCAGAATATTGAGCAATTGCTCAACTACAGTATCGTCTCCGTAGTATCCCTCACCGGGTCAAAGTCGGCCAGGCAAGCAGACTCAACTACAGTATCGTCTCCGTATCATGGCAATATCCCTCACCGGGCTAAACTCGGCCAGGCAAGCAGGGTGCATTATTTCACTGGCACAGTTTATGGCAAGCAAAAATGAAAAAACTTCCATCCGTACCTTATCGCCATGTCTTGCTTTTCCTGTCGCCGCAGACAGGTTATCGGAGCCACGCTCATGCCGTCTTTGGAGCTACGGAAAACACTGTCAGCTTGGCGTAAATATTATCGAACTGCCATGAAATATTTTTCGACCTGCCATGGGAGGGAAGCCCCAAAGCCCCGATAGCTGTCGCTGACAAACTGAGGTCTCTGCTGTCGTCAACGGCCGAACAAAACATCTAAATTATGGGACTGAGCGGCACCAAATCCTGACAAACAATCTAGCATTTTAGACTGGTGTGCGCCTTCCAGTGATAGCACTATGAGTCATAATGTCCATGCCGGTTAGGTGGGCTGTCAGGTGTGCGCCTTCCAGTGATAGCATTATGAGTCATGATATCCATGCCGATTAGGTGGGCTGTCGTTGGGAAAGGACTGGATTGAAAT